GGATGGATGGATGGATGGATGGATGGATGGATGGATGGATGGATGGATGGATGGATAGCAACACGGACACCGGTTCGGTTGTTCACGGGGATGGGCTGTCTGAAGAGACTTACCTTCTGTAGCTGATAATGGTGCCTGGGTTTGATGTGTGTCAAGGTTGCAGTGCAGTGCAATGTGGAGGACCCCTTGCAGTCTCGGCTTCCGCAGATGGACCAGCCTTCTTGGCCCATGGACCTCTCTCCCCAAAAGGTTCGCCCTGGATCTTCCTTCTGCCCAGGACTAATGTCCTGATATCTGCAGAGCAAATGTGGGGATGGGCAGCAGAAGAGGCAGGGCTGGTTTGGTCTTGTGCTTTTTCTGCTCTCTGTGCAGCAATTGGCAGCCAGATGAATTGGCCTGGTAGGTCTGACCCAAAGTTGAGAGTCCCAGTGTGGCCCTACGTCCTCTTACGGGAAGGATGGAAGACCAGCTCCAAGAGATGTAGACGCAAATGCTGCCTCTGTGCATGTGTGTCCCCTGACAGCCACCTGGGCTTATTTGGCACGCTAGAGAGCTGATTGTCTGGGAGGGCCACCTTGTAGCCATCAGCAAGTAGAACTTGTCCCCAGTGCCTTCATCTTGGGAGGATCCTCTGCTTCTGCTTTGCACATAACAAACATGCCAAGAGGATGAGCAGTTCTTACACAGGCATCTCTCTTGGTTGGAGGTCACCTCCTTGGCTGTTCTTTCTCTTCCAGCTCACCCGTCTTTTTGCACCAGGGGAGATGTGCAACCTGAGACCTTTCCCCCAAAAGCCTTAGGGGCAGCCTCCAGTGCTTTTCCAAAAATAGCCACCAAATTGTAATTTGGCAGAAGGAATGAATAAATGTGTGGAGTAACTACCGTTGAGTTTACTTAATTTCCTTGATTTAAGTGCAATCAAAATTCAATCCAGTTTAGATTTTTACTTGGCCCCCCTCCTGCCTTTGTCCTGGGATGCCCCTCCTGGAGTGCGTCACTTGCCCTGAAAAGGTTGCCCTCTGCCCGCTTGCAACACTGGCAACTCACATGAGCCTGCCTGCCTGCCTTCTTTCCTTCCTGCCTTCCTTCCTTCCCCATCTTGACTCTTGGTGCAATCAGGCCAAGGGGAGAGGCTCTTTCTCTTCTCTCTGCCCCCCCCCCATTTAACACCAGCAGGGCTCCCCTGGAGGCCCTTCCTGCCCAGTCTTCGGTCGGTCGCCATTGCAGCCGAGAGGCAGAGCAGCTGCTCCTCTTTGTCGCCATCATTACTTTCATTTCGAATGATTTTCTCATTTCGCACATTGTACTTGAAATTACCTCGGTTTCTTGTGACCTCATGAGCTTCTTTGAGTTGGCTTTCTGTGTGGGGGGGGTGAGTTGGGGTTCCTTGTTGAAAAGGCCACAAGGCAGGGCTAGAAGAGAGGGCTTGCACCCGTGTCCAAACACAGCCAACAAAACCCCACGGACATCGTTTTCCACATCAGCCTTCTTGTCTCGTGTTTATTGTGCATTATTATTATTACTACTACTACCAAAATTGGTGTTTGTTTTTATGATCCAGCCTAACACGGCTCAGAGATTATCTTGAAAAGCTACCTCTTTTTAAGTTGATGTTGTTATTGTTCCTTTTTTTTTAAATTGGCAGTTACAGAAGCACAGTTTTGCCATATTTGTGGGTGGGTGGCTTTGTAAATTCCATTTCAGTTTTCATCTCATGCTTTATATTTGCAGTTGTACATTTTATTTTGTAATTTAGCTGCGTTTATATATGGGGGGAACGTTTAGGGAAGAAATCGTAGATGAACGAAAAGGGGAATTTCAAAGGGCGTGTCTCTATCCTGTTGCTCAACACATTTACCCTCCTAAAATCTGACCCTGATCCTTTCTCAACGTTGGAAAATACTGAAGGCCTTAAAAATGGGTGGGGGGGAGATAAAAGAGACTCTATGTCATTGTACGTCCAGAGAGTTGACAATTTAGTGAAACATTTAGCAATTTGGTAAAAAAAAAAAAAACCAGTTAAACTTGAATATGTGAATAGTTAAGTAGAGTTTTGTTTATAATGTGAAAAAAAATGACAGCATTCAAGGCGGATCTTTTAATGAACAATATGCAGTAAATGTACCAGTGTGACGTTTGTCAGAGGCGGCCGTGTGGCCCTTCTGATATAGGCCCAACATTGTTGGGCGCTGTCTTTTTAAAATGGGGGGGGCGTTTGAGGAGTCTTCCTCTCTCCCCCACCACTCACCAAGCTAAAAGTGTTGGACTGATAAATTATTTCAGAAGTGTAATATTTTTGTAACATTTGTTAGTCTCTGTGTCAAGTTTTCAGCAGGATGTTGTCCTCCTTCCTTTTGTAATGTGAACAGGAATATGTTTGCGTGTGCGGGTGTGCGTTTGAAACCTAGTATTAAATAATAAATCATGCAGTATTGTTGTAAAGAGTTTGCCATATCAGATGGTACTAAATTAGGGTGGGGATCACAGCTTCCAAAGCACACTGGGGGAAATGCGTTCAATCCAGCGGCTCTCGGTGTGGCCCTTCACGTGCCCTGGATGGGACAGGTTGGGGGGGGCGGACACTCAGCTGCGTTGGGTGAGCAAACTCCGCAGAGAGGCCCACGTGGCCCACGTGGCGGGCTTGCGCGTTGCAATTTCCCTCCCTCTCAATGACTGTTGGACAGACGTCTTCTGCCCACTGCATGTGCTGATTGGAGTTGGGCTTGATCAGTGGCAGGGTGGCGAGTCGCTTGGCAGCAGGAGAGGGAGGCACCGGGTGAGCTGCAAGACTGGGCCTGCACAAACCAGATTTGGGTTCAGGCGGTTCCGGGGCTAGGTCCCCACGGGCTGGCGAGGGTCCCCCCACCCCTCCTTGGCCCAGGAACCACAGGCCGCCGCTCTGGGCCCTCGGACGCAAGCGCCCTGCCGCGGGTGATCCAGACCTTGCCCGCCTGCAGACCCGCCGCTCCGGCTTGTCCGCCTGCACCTTTCCTTTGACTTCATTTTGCCTCCCTTCGCAAGTATATATTCCTGGCTGTCTGTGATTGTTGCTTTGGGAATAAACTTCAGAAACTGAAAGCATTAAGATTATTGTATACAAACACTTGCAGGTGTGTGTTTCGTGCGTGTCCGTCTGATGGAGAAATATAACTTTGTGGCTGCTTTGTGGTGGGAAACAAGACCGGCTCTGCTTTCGTACGATCCCCAACACAACTTTGGAAAATGGTTCTTTCTTTTTTCATCTTTGTGCCTGAAAAGGAGTGTGTTTGTGTGTGTGCTGACTTTCGCGCATTTTAAGAGAGGAATAAAATGCTGCAGTGCTTTCTTAATGACTTGGTACCTTGAGGGATTAGGTGGGACTTGCTAGCTAAGGAATGTCATGGTATGCTCCATCTTTATTCCTGGAAAGGAGAAATCCTGCCACCACCACCCCCGATTCTCAGCCTCTGGTCCCCTGCCCTGCGGCTTGGTAAGGCTGGCGCTGGAGGGAGTGGCTCCGTTCGTGCAAGGGGCGGTGGCCGGGCCACTTTGCCCTCCAGGCATCCCATCGTTGCTTGCCCCTTCCACCCCGCCCTCCCCACCCCCTCAGAGGGCTGCTGTTCTGTTTCACAGCAACGTGACCTGCACAACCTGAGCATGGGGGCTCCCCTCCCCAGGCAAAAAACTTGGAAAGACCCCCCCCCCGGGCCCATTCAGGAGCTGCCAAGTCTTGCCCTCTTGGCAGCAGCAGCAGCAGAGAACAGTAAAAGCAGGGTAAATGGGCAAGTTCGCCGCGTTAAGCAGTATTCTGTCGAACTCAAAATGATCCAATGGGATTTTTCTCCTGGCCCCGCCCACTTCTTTCTGTCCCCGCCCCCACTCCTTAAAGGCTGCCAGTGGGCGCGCTGTCCCCTTGCCGCGGGCGATGGGCGGGCAGAGACCCCC